TGCCAAAAGAACAATCATATCTGTGTTGGAAGAAATACAACCAGAGTGCTCCTTGGAGGCCAGGATGGCCAAACTTTGTTTCTCATACTTTGGACCTATTGTCAGGAGGGACCAGTCACTGACTGGAGAAGGATATCATGTTTGGTAAGGGTCAGAGAAAAAGAGGAAGACCCCCAGCAAGATGGATTTGGCAAAGTGGCGGCATCAGTGTCAGCATCAAGCATGGTAACAATTGTGAGGTTGGCCAAGAACCGGGCAGTGTTTCATTCTGTTGTGCATAAGGTCGCTATAAGTCAGTACTGACTTGATGGCACCTGACAACAACAACAAATAGTTTCAGAGGTTCATCCATCCTTAGCTTTTAGGAAGTCTAGAGTATGTAAGACTTTGAAATTCTGTTTTGCATTTCCCCACTTTTGATCAGGATTCTCTGTACACATTTGATCAAAATATTCAGTAATGATAGCTAAGTACCATCTAGCAATGAGTACTAGCCAGTCTCATGACAAAGGAAGCAGTTGTTTGTGGAGGCCATTAGGTAGGCATTTCATATCCTCTTCCCATTGATTCTTACTCTGTTCTATGCAAAAAGAGATCAATTGTGTCTTGGATGATTGCTTGCAGTCATTATGTAATGAACCTACATTCATTCTTGATTCAGCTATGAAACCATATACCACACATTCCTCTGTCACAAGGCTTCATTCATATAGTTATTGAGCCCTTACTATGGTACAGTTACAGGAATGATAGAGATCAAAGAACAAAAACAGGTATCGGACCTGTCTTCATGGCGCATAGTCTAGTGAGAACATAGGGAACAAGATGGGGAAATTACACAAGTGATGGTTTAGATGATTTGAGAAGGATGAAAGAACTAAATGGGACAAGTATTTCAGGTAAAAGGAGCATCATTTTCAAAGACCTGAGGAGAAAGGAAGAGTGGTAGATTTTAGGTACTGAAAAACACAAAGCAGGAGCACAGCACTAGTGGAAGAATGGTCTGAGACAAAGACAAATCAGGTCTTCAGGTTTTAAGAAAAGGAGAAATATGATTGCTGTTAAGTGCCGTCGAGTAGGTTACAACTCATAGTGACCCTGTATAGCGTTTCCAAGCAGCAGCTGGTGAGTTTGAACTGCCAACTTTGTCATTCAAACCTACCTCGCAGTCCAGTGCTTTATCCCACTGTGCTACAGAACGTCATATTTAAGGGATCAATATAGATGCAATGTAAAGAATAGGTTGAAGCAAGCAAGGTATGGGTGTGAGAAACAAGACTATTACAGTAGTTTAGTGCCATTGAGTTGGTTACAACTCCTAGTGACCCTATTTAGGATTACCAAGGCTATAAATCTGTGGGAGCAGAAAGCTTCATTTTCCTCCCAAGGAGTGACGAGCTCAAACCACCAACCTTGTGGTTAGCAATTCAGTGCTTATCCTACAGAGCCATAGGCTCTGTTACAGTAGACTAGATGAGAAGTGAAGGCTTATGGCTGGTGTTTTGTTGTGTTGTGAAGTGCCGTCGAGTAGATTCCGACCCATAGCAACCCTGCATAGGGTTTCCAAGGAGTGACTGGTGTGCTTGAACAACTGGGCTTGTAGTTCAAACGGCTTTGCAGTCTGGCGTTTTAACCCACAGCGCCACACCAGGACTGGTGGCTGATATTGGCAGTGCATAAATGAGGAATGCTTGTATTGCCCTTAATTGTAATAGCATGTAACTTACCTGTTAAAAGGCTAGCTCTGACCAAGAAAAATTACCTCTAATCAATAAAACTGGGATAACAATGGTGGTGTGCCATGGATTTGGTTCGGACTCATAGTGACCCTGCGTAAGGTTTCCAAGGCTGTAAATCTTTTTTTTTTTTTTTAATTGTGAATTGTGTGATAGTCTACATGGGAGAACATCAGCTTTACATTCATTCCATCATCCATCATTTCATTGGCATAGTTACCATCCCAACCATGCATCCGCACCCAACCAAGGGGTGTACCCTGTAAAGGCTGTACATCTTTACAGGAGCAGAAAACCTCATCTTGCTCCCTGGTAACTTTGAACTGCTGACCTTTAGCCCAACTCCTAATCACTATGCTACCAGAGCTCTTTGAGATAATGATAGACCCTGTAATATAGGGCTGTTATAAGAATTAAATAATACAAGTTTAAAACAGGAATCAATACCATATGGGTGGGGTTAGAGAGGGTGTTTAAGACAAGCAGTTGGGTAGATGATAAATTAA